AATCTTTTTTTTTTTTTTTTTTTTTTTTTTACTTATGTACTATTCTACTCCAACAATAAGTGGCGATGTTGCTCCCCAAAGAAAGGATGAAAATAAAGAGGGTTGGAAGGAGGTAGGGGAGTAAATGAATGAGTGTCTGCCCCACCTTACTCCGGCAAAGGCCCAGAACTTCTTTTCCACCCCCTCCAGTTCCCCTCTTCCTCCCTAATGTGGTTTGTGTTATTCAATTAACAGGGTAAATACAATCTGTGTTATTGAAGCTAAAGACACAGAGGCGTAATGGGAGTTGCTGTCTAAGAAATACCGTACCTGCTTTTCATCAGTCTCTCTAAAGCAACCCCAGCTGAGAAAATAACTCAAGTGCTTAAGCTAATTGTGCGGTTCTGTAATGAGAAACAGGAAGCACCAAAGCATGTCTCCTGAGCTTTGGATCGCTATTCTGAGACTGGTTCTGCTCCATGAGCGACAATTTAGTTGGAAAAAAGAGCAGGAAGTATCCTCTGGAAAGCTCAGCTGGTGGGATGACGTTCTCCAAGACAAACCGACTCGTCCTTTTAATGGAGACCCTGATTAACCATCCAGATCTAACTTTTTTTATTAGATTTTATTGCTTTCCACTTTTTGTCTTAATTTTTCTAAAATGTTCTTTAAAATCTTATTAATTAAATCTTAATTAGATTCAAGCCTGAAATGTAGAGACATTTTTTTTCTTTATAATTAATTAAATACCCATGTTTACGTTTTTCTATCAGAATTTGCAGCTGGTTGCAGACGGCTGCAGTAACCTAAAGAAGCAGATTCAGATCGCTCATCTCTTTGGAGTTCCTGTGGTTGTTGCTCTGAATGTCTTCAAGTAAGAATTGGTCTATCTGAAAAACTGATTCTGCAACATGCATTTTCTTCCCAAAACATGATGTTTGAAAATTATGACTCTTTAAACCATTTAAAAATAGCCATGGTTGACGTAAACCAGAGTACCAAGAGTGTGTGTGTGTGAGAGAGTGTGATCAAAAAGGCAACAGATGGTGTCCAAATTGAGCTTATTTGTAAGTGTCTTTCCAGTATGTCTGGAAGGTTTATTTTTACCCACTTTTTGATTAATGACCATATTTAGCCAAAGTGTTGTGTTTGCCCTGTGATATTTGGATTTGCCTTGTCAGAACCAATGACATTTCTCTTTCTGTGAAGGACTGACACTCAAGCAGAGATCGACATGGTGTGTTGCATCGCAGAGGCTTCTGGGGCTTCAGCTGCTGTGCAGTGTCATCATTGGTCCAGAGGTGGGCGGGGCTCTGTGGAGCTTGCACATGCTGTGAAGAAAGTTGCATCTCAGAAGAACCATTTCCAGTTCCTGTACAATCTGCAGGTGAGGCCAGACACAATTATTTGTGAAAAAAATACTACAAACATTAATGCAAATATTGAGCTTAGGTAAAACCCGAATCCCCACTAAGATAGAGCAAAGTGACTCTGATGGATGGTTTAAACATGATAGTTTCTTGTACGATGAGCTAAGTGTTGCTCCCAGTGTGTATATTTCAGGTGGAGGTGGGGGGCTGTAAGGCCATCAGCTGGTTTGAGTTAACCTTAGTGAGTTTAGAGGTTGTGACTTTAAGTGATGCTATGAAAGGTGTGGTAATCTCTCCTCTTGGCTCTGGCTGGCCTCTATTATCCTATTAGAGGTTTGGACACTTGCTATCCCAAGCATCTACACAGAGAACTGGCTGGGGGGATTGTATGACCACCAGATAGGCGGAAGCTAAGTTTTATTGCTAAAAAAAGTTAAATTGCTTGAATATGAAATATTTTTCATTTATTTATTTATTTTTCTTTTTCCATACATCTTTTACTCTCTTGACCTGTTAATTAAGCCCGGTTTTTTTTTTTTTTAAGGATTCTATTGTAGAGAAAATTCGGACTATTGCACAGAAGGTTTATGGTGCTGATGATATTGAGCTTTCACCTGAGGCTCAAGCTAAGATAGACCACTACAATCAACAGGTGAGAAGGGCTGTACATTGCCACTGAACATGTACAATTCATGTACAATTTTAATATTTGAGCTTTTTTATTGTAATCTTAAAGGTTATATCAATATTTTCAACCTTTTAATATCCATTATTTATCGCTTATTTTAATTTACATGCACCAATATAACATTAAAAAATACTATATCTGTATATACAAGAAGATAGTTTTGAATGTATTCGTTGAAACTGGTGATTTTGAACTGATTCATGGAAATCTGCCAACTCCTAATGACATTTGCAATGTCGAAGAATTTAATGCTTGTATTTGTTCACCATTTTTAAGTTTTCACCATCTTCTACCCAACGGGTTTGGATTCAATTCTGTGAAGCAGTGCATCTCACAACATAACAGCTAACGGATGTCAAGAGCCCAGAGCAAATGATGTGCATGTCTCTTGTGGATATTAACTGTGTCTGTAAATCTCTCAGGGTTTTGGTGCTCTTCCCATCTGCATGGCCAAGACCCACCTGTCTCTCTCTCATATGCCTGAGAAAAAAGGTGTTCCCACCGGTTTTATCCTGCCAATCAGAGACATCCGTGCCAGCATCGGGGCAGGGTTTATCTACCCTTTAGTTGGAACTGTAAGTGATTATCCTCAAAATCTGATGGAAGCTCATCGTATTCCATTCTTTTCCTTTCTGTCTACATGCCCACACTTTCCTTCCTGATATATTTGATGGCTTTCACCTATTTGATGCCATCCACTACCTCTTCATATTACTTTCTTTTATTACTTCCTTTGTTGGTAGGTGAATGTTTCAGTTACTAATAGGATCCAGGATTATGGTTGAACCTGGGATCTGTGACCTTGTTAGGGCTTTTAAAAACAGCACTCAAATGCCAAATTCCTCTGCCTTCATGTTTTTGCTCTCTAAAAGCCAATATTGCCTGGCCTAAGGCAGATATATCTCTGTCTGAATTCCTGAAAATGTTTGGTCAAGGTAGTTTACATTTAATGAGAAGTCTATTGGATTCTCAGTTTGGATTCATGATGAAACCTGTGAGACCGTTCGATTAAGCCCTGTGAAAACGGCACTTAGAGCATCTGTGGGTTTTTTTGAACTTTTGAATGACCCATGCTTTTCTATGTGTGTGCACATATTTTTGGTTTTCATTAAAATACTCCGTCCCTGGATTTTTCCCAATGTTTTCTCTACTTTCTTCCTAAACCCAGCTGGTTCACCTTAGGAACCACCATTCCAATCAGACTTCCAGCATAGGAGATATATGAAAGACTCTTTATTCTCCCGTTCTGTTTGTACATTTTAAAGCTATAAATTAAAAACATTGATGAACATGCATGGTGATGAATGTCAAAGTTTAAAATCCGTTGGTTTGACTGGTTAAAAAAAAGGTTACATGTGATTATTTTGATTTGATCATATTGTGTGGTGCTATCAGCATATTGCTTTTGAGTATCCTGACCAACTGGATTTCGTTCCGCAGTTTGATTGAGCCAGTGTGTTTTGTTGACTGGGTGAGGCTTAGGGAAGGAAGCTCATTTCCGGGTTGAGAGTGAGGTCCTGGCTGCAGTGTGGGGTCAGGGTTGGGGTGAGGTGTCCGTTGTGCGGCATGCTGGGAGATGGGTGCCTGTGACCCAGCCCCTCCGGTCTGACCTCCGCTCTGTCCCCTTTCATCTCCATGGGACTGCTGCGGGGACATACGGCCAGTGCTCATGACCTCTCACTTCAACCCGTCTCAGAATTTACTGCCAATGCTTTGAACTTCAGTGTAATCTCTTCATCTCTGTCTGCTCTTCTGGTTTTCTTTATTTTCCTCATTTCTTTCCTCAAATCTACCCTTGTTTAGTACTTTCGCTTGCTTGATTGTAATTAGGGGTGCGCCGATCCGATATTCAGTATAGGTATCACTCCAATACTGCTACTTTCTGCTGGATCGGGGTATCGGTCAGACGAGACCGTTCACGGGAACACGGGATACGCATAAGCGATTTGTGCCGCTCTGTATTTGAGCCTTTCATGTTATAATACTTTTGTGCAATGAAAGATTGTTATTAATAGCCTTTCTTGTTTTGTCTTATCTATCATATGTTGCTGCCTCATTACTGTGCTATAAATGTAAAAGAAATGTATTTAATTTATTGCATATATTTATATATAATTATATTTACTTGTTTTTCTTGAATGTAGGCTATATTACAATACAAAGAGCAATGTGTAACAATTTTCCAGATTACACCTATTTACTTTTATTTTTTCCCCCACAAAATGTTTTTTCTCTAAATGTTATATTTTATAAAATTATTGTGAACTCATAATTTTTGTAGAGTAACTTTTGCTGCTGAATTATCCACTAACCTAGTTTATAATAGTATTTTCTCATAGATTATGATTATATATTTTTTAATTTGTTATTTTTCTTTATAATGAAGTTGTCTATATTTAGTAGATTGTGTGTAATACACAAAAGAGTGATGGTCAGGTCAACACGCACTGAGGTATATATAAAAAAAAAAAAAAACTGTGCTGGTATCGGATCGGTATCGGTATTGTCCGATACTCAGAACTTTTGGTATCGGATTGGGATCGGTTCTGAAAAAATGGTATCGTGCCACCCCTAATTGTAATACAGTCGGATGTTAATGAGTCAGTGCTTAAATCTTAAGGTGCATATAAACTGACAGACGTTACCATTGCATTAAAGAGGTCATGAAATGGAAAGTTTTTTTTTTTATTAATATGTATATAAGTTTTAGTACAATATTACAAAGAAAAAACAAAGCAGAACAAAAGACAAGATCAACTTAATACAATGGATAACAATAATAACAACAATAACAAATAAAATAGTTTAAACAAATAAATCAATAAAATTAGAATAAAATAATAAATAAATAAAAGTGTGGCTTAGGAAAACAGTGAAAATGCACAATCATCATGATACAATATAATTTATCTGAGGAAAGAAAATAAAAAGATAGAACTAAGATTCAGTCTACGTCCGACAATGAGACATGTTCCCTGACATATTGCTTGAAAGGGCCCCAAGCTTTATTAAACTGGTTAGATGAGCCTCTTATAAAATGTTAGATTTTCTCCAACTTTAGGAAAAAGAGGATATCACAAACCCATTGTGTTGGAGTTGGAGGCCTCTGATCCTTCCACTTCAGCAATATTAGTCATTTGGCTAAGAGCATGATAAAAGATATACAATCAGATTGTATCTTTGTAAGATTGTATGCTATGGGAGTAATTCCAAAAATGGCTATCAGCGGTCACAAGCAGGATCTATATGCTGAAAGTGCTTAGTTTCAACTTTGTCCAGTGTACACGGTGTACAATTTTGCACTGCAGTCCATGTCTTGCACAGACTAAAGACTTGTGTATTCTATGAAATGGAAGGGTTACTCTACAATTAAAACGGATTGCAATTTGTTTTTTCAAAATATCAATAAAATATAAAGTTCTGAAAATTTATTCCTTGGCCCCTTTAAAAAAGGTTAAGCAATAAAATAAATATTATCCTGTTGTATGTAAGGAAAAAAAGAGCAGTTTAGACATTGCGATATATCATTTACCATGCAAGAAAGTCTGGGATGAGATTAATAATTTTGATAATTATTTTTTATTTTTGAACTACTGCTCAAATGTCGGTAAGATTTTTAAATTGTTTTTGAAAGAAGCCTCTTAAAGAAGCCTCTAGCATTTATTTGATCAAAGGATTGTTAATAGCCTTTCTTGTTCTGTCTTATCTATCATATGTTGCTGCCTCATTACTGTGCTATAAATGTAAAAGAAATGTATTTAATTTATTGCATATATTTATATATAATTATATTTACTTGTTTTTCATGAATGTATATTACAATACAAAGAGCAATGTGTAACAATTTTCCAGATTACACCTATTTACTTTTATTTTTTCCCCCACAAAATGTTTTTTCTCTAAATGTTATATTTTATAAAATTATTGTGAACTCATAATTTTTGTAGAGTAACTTTTGCTGCTGAATTATCCACTAACCTAGTTTATAATAGTATTTTCTCATAGATTATGATTATATATTTTTTAATTTGTTATTTTTCTTTATAATGAAGTTGTCTATATTTAGTAGATTGTGTGTAATACACAAAAGAGTGATGATCAGGTCAACACACACTGGGGTATAGGGAAAAAAAAAACTGTGCTGGTATCGGATCGGTATTGTCCGATACTCAGAACTTTTGGTATCGGATTGGGATCGGTTCTGAAAAAATGGTATCGTGCCACCCCTAATTGTAATACAGTCGGATGTTAATGAGTCAGTGCTTAAATCTTAAGGTGCATATAAACTGACAGACGTTACCATTGCATTAAAGAGGTCATGAAATGGAAAGTTTTTTTTTTTATTAATATGTATATAAGTTTTAGTACAATATTACAAAGAAAAAACAAAGCAGAACAAAAGACAAGATCAACTTAATACAATGGATAACAATAATAACAACAATAACAAATAAAATAGTTTAAACAAATAAATCAATAAAATTAGAATAAAATAATAAATAAATAAAAGTGTGGCTTAGGAAAACAGTGAAAATGCACAATCATCATGATACAATATAATTTATCTGAGGAAAGAAAATAAAAAGATAGAACTAAGATTCAGTCTACGTCCGACAATGAGACATGTTCCCTGACATATTGCTTGAAAGGGCCCCAAGCTTTATTAAACTGGTTAGATGAGCCTCTTATAAAATGTTAGATTTTCTCCAACTTTAGGAAAAAGAGGATATCACAAACCCATTGTGTTGGAGTTGGAGGCCTCTGATCCTTCCACTTCAGCAATATTAGTCATTTGGCTAAGAGCATGATAAAAGATATACAATCAGATTGTATCTTTGTAAGATTGTATGCTATGGGAGTAATTCCAAAAATGGCTATCAGCGGTCACAAGCAGGATCTATATGCTGAAAGTGCTTAGTTTCAACTTTGTCCAGTGTACACGGTGTACAATTTTGCACTGCAGTCCATGTCTTGCACAGACTAAAGACTTGTGTATTCTATGAAATGGAAGGGTTACTCTACAATTAAAACGGATTGCAATTTGTTTTTTCAAAATATCAATAAAATATAAAGTTCTGAAAATTTATTCCTTGGCCCCTTTAAAAAAGGTTAAGCAATAAAATAAATATTATCCTGTTGTATGTAAGGAAAAAAAGAGCAGTTTAGACATTGCGATATATCATTTACCATGCAAGAAAGTCTGGGATGAGATTAATAATTTTGATAATTATTTTTTATTTTTGAACTACTGCTCAAATGTCGGTAAGATTTTTAAATTGTTTTTGAAAGAAGCCTCTTAAAGAAGCCTCTAGCATTTATTTGATCAAAGGTACAACAAAAACAGTAATTGTGATTTGTGAAATATGTACAATGTAATTTGGTCACTTTATTTTAAGGTCCAATTCTCGCTATTAACAAACCATTAACTACGATTTTGCCTCAATCTCCTAATTTGCTGCTTATTAATAGTTAGTAAGGTAGTTGTTAAGTTTAGGTATTAGGTAGGATTTGGGATGTAGAATATATGGTCATGCAGAATATGTGCTTTATAAGTACTAATAAACAGCCAATATGTTAACAATAGGCATGCTAATAAGCAACTAGTTAATAGTGAGAATTGGTCCCAATACTAAAGTGTTACCTGTAATTTATTATATGATGGAAAAGCTCAAATTTATTAGCAAACATTTCTCCAGTCTTGTTTAAAACCATTAGTGATTTTAATCCATTTTTACAGTTACTAAAAAGATTGCATTATTTTATGAACACGTGTTTTCTGTCTTTCAGTCATAGTCATAGTCAACTTACATTTTAAATGGCATGTAATCATTATACAGGCAAGTCAGTATCTATTCCAGTCATTTCTGTACATAACTCTGCAGCTCAGGCTACAAGACAGGTGTGTGTTATTATGCCTGTTACTTTCAATGGTAGACCCGAGGGACAAAGCAGTCATGGGGGGTTACAGGAGGAAGTAACTGATGTCATGCACCAGATATGTGAGGGAGGGGTCAGCCAGAGAGCAATGGGACTCAGTGGATCTTAGCTTCCATTCAGCTCAGGAAATTTATTGCCCAAATCCGTGTCTGCTGTAAGCCGCACAATGGATTCCTGATGATACTGCTGGAAGGCTTGTGGTGTTTTGGCAACCTGACCACCACGCTGACTTGAACACATGTCAATAGCAGACTGGTGCAAAGAGCATGTTCAGTAGAAAGTATAAACGGACACAATGGTCTGCGGTAAGGAAAACATGGCCCATTTGAACCGAGTGTTCAAATGAATTAAGTTGCCATTTGTTCTTGAACATTGACTACATAATGGAGTATTGTGTATGGAAATAATTGTGGGAATTTCTTGGCTTGCATAGAAGACATCTCAACACCACACAGCCAAGCGGATGACCTTTTAAGTGAATTTGCTGAGACGGTGTTGCATTAGGTTTACTCTTTATGGGTGCCTGTATTGTTGCCACAATCTTCTGAATTTGTCTTGTTCTGAAGAAAGGTTGTGAAATCTGTCTCAGAGATAGGGGAGGGTCAGAGCTTCAACCTGACCAATCTGGGTTCAGTCTCTCATGCATTTAACAACAGTTTGGCATATTGCATTGAAACTGCAATGTAATTTCGACCCTGTGCCATAAGGGTACTTAAGCAAATTGGAAAAAAGTGCCATTTATTGGTAAGAAATTTGTACAGCTGCTGAATATGGCCAGAATTTGAATCATTTGGACTTAAGTCCCAAACCTGGTCTGTTTTAGATTCTTTGGGTCATATGGACCTATTAGTTGAGCCACATGGTGATGTCATGTTCTGGGCTATACCTTTTGTCAGTTTGCCAACTTATTTTTCTTTTAGAACTTTTTCTTTTTTTTATTATAAAAAAATGTGTACAATTTTAAAAACTGGTCAGATTTTGCTCGCATTAGTCAACTGATTCACCTTATCTTTCTACTAGGAAGTTAATTTATTCTAATAAGCCATTAAACAGCTCCTGGGTTGTCATGCATAAGAGGAATCTTTCTTTAAAATATTTAAAACTCTGCTTGCTGTGATGAGGTTTTGTTCTAAGAAATGATGGGGAATGGAAGTCTCAATAAAAGGTTGGGATAGATGATGTCTGTCTTCATTCTCAGAAGTGCACGTGACCACAGAAAACAAAGGTTAATCGGTCATGAGAAATTTGAGCTGAAGTATTTCAGATTGATAGCGTCCATGGCATTTTGGAATCGAGTGTAGCAGGATCTTTATATCAGAGACCTCTGTGAAAATGATAGTTTTCATTCTCTGGGCAAGGTGAAATTGCTGGATAAACGATGTACTTTTTCCTCTCTCTTTTTCTGTCTTGGTCTGTTTTTAGTTTTTTTTTTTGTTAAATGATAATTTAATTAAGATAATTTGTTTCTTTTGCCTGGGTCTCACATGTATGCCAGTCACTTGATTTTAATCGGTGGTATTTTTAAGGTTGTTCATTTTTCTTTTATATAATCAATTGGTTTGACCACTGGCTATAGATTTTGTTGTTAGGGAATTAAAATTATGACCTTTAAGTTTTCCTCGATCAATAAATCAGTCCTAAATCTGCATACTTTTTAAAACTGAGTGAATATTGATTGCTTATATACATTGACCTGTTAACATTTCCATGTTAAATTCATATTCTAAAACATGAAAGTATTTAGGCATCTTCATGTTTTATCACTATAGTAATAGACGCAACAGTTTGAAAATGATGACAAAATTGGGGGCTTCTAAAGACCACAATTGTCTCTTTAAAAAAAACTGCATTCATTAGGTGATAAAATCTAGTTTTAGTGGCTCCAGCATTAGCCTCTGTTTGTAATTGAGATTTATATGCCACGGAAGTCATTTGGAGGTAACAAGATTTGCATAGAATAGATGTTTAGCAAGGATTTAGCAACATCTTTAAAACCTTCTTTAAGACTGAATATATGATCTTGAAGCTAAGTGAATCTAAAGGACATAGTTTGTTTTCATTCATAAACGAGTCTTTAAATTAGCCTATGTATCAGTTATAGTCCTTTAAGTAACTAAACTTAATTCAACAAACCTTCAGTTCAATTTCTGACTCAATTACTGTGTGCTGTGATGTTTTGTTTGCACATAAAAAATATTTATTGTCTATCATAAAGTTTCTTTTTCTTGTACGCTGAATTGTACATTTCTTTCAGATGAGCACCATGCCAGGCTTGCCTACTCGACCCTGCTTCTACGACATTGACCTTGATCCTGTGACGGAGGAGATAAAAGGACTCTTCTGAGGACATTTCTGCAGTCCCATACATGCTTTTGACCAGTAAGAACACAATTAACAGTGTCAGAACAATGACTTTTTGTTTTTGTGCTTTGTTCATGCCACACAACAAAAAGATCAGATTTGATTGAATGTACGTAAAACTTTCCTTCACTTTCTTTCTCCTCTTTCATGCTTTCCTCCATTCTCAGGTGTTCCTCAGTGTCTGTGTAGGCCTCCATTCATATGCCACTGGTTACAGCTCATCCACTGCCTTCTAGCAATGAAACTACTGAGTGTTAGATCAACAAACATTCCTCCTCCTTTGGTTCGTCTTTCTGTAAACACTTCTGTTTACATAGTGTTTTAGTGTTTACAACTTAACGATGCACAAAAGCTTTTAAACGCATTCTGTATAGCTAAAAATTCCATTTAATGCTTTAATATTTCCGTCTTAAATGTTTCAGATTACCTATGGAATATGATAACAGTATTCAGGCAAACTCCATTTCATTTCTTTTTATTTGAATACTGCTACCATTCTCCTTTAGTAACATTAAATCTTGTTTAACGGTTTAAGTGTTACAGCCAAATATGCCATAAATCTTAGGGCTGAGGTGCTTTTATTTAGACACTACACAAAACAAAATTACAAGTGGTGCTAGTGGTTTGACACCTGTTCTCTTTCTCTCTCTCTCTCTCTCTCTCTCTCTCTCTGATACAAATGTACAAGTGTTGCATGGATCTCACTACCTGTGTATGCACCTTTTCATCGTGCATGTGGGTACATGCCAGAAAATCTTGTTTTAGACATTCCACAGTTATCTGTTATTCTGAGTCTTAAACTACTGTGTGGGACGTGAGTAAAGAAGAATTCCATTGACTGTTGCAACAGTTATGTATGCTTGAAAACCTGTATTTTTCCAGTGATGATAGATTCTACAGTTAAAAAGGCAGTCAGAGAACAAGATGACTGGCCAGACAAAAATAAATCAAAAATAAAATTGTATTTCAGTACAAATACTGAACATTGAACTGGATAGTGAACATTTTCATGCATTAATTTTATTTTTGTTTATTAATGTGTCACTTTTACCAAACACGTTTTGTGTGTGAATGAGTGTGTGAGAGAATGCATAAGTGATGTGTGCACATGTATGAGCGAGTTAATGAATCACTAATCTTTATTGTGAAGTCAGACTGTTGGTCCACACAGATGAAATTCCTCTAGATTAGATTTTTTGGTCTTTTATTAGGATAAAGAGCTGTGATGTATCGAACAGTAGCAGACAAATGGCCCCAACAGGGTCTTTACATTATTTTGCCTCTACAGGGCGCAGTCCACTCAAGAAGACACCCTGTGAGGGCAGCAGTACTCATTCATACCCCTTTCAGTCTCTTGTACTTCTAATCTCTTGCCTTATGGAGTTTTTTTTGGGGTACCCAAAATGAATGGCCAGTAGTCTAGAGTGTTATTGTTTTTTCCATGTTAAAACAAATAGATTGCATGCTTTAAAAGAGGGGGAAAGTAATTATTTTATTATTTAGTGCAAAGGTTTCTGTTGCTGCTATAGTGACTGCTGCCCTCTTGACCTTTTGTTGGGGTTTTATTGAGGTCACCATGTCAGGTGAACATATAGAGCTGTTACTGCTTATTTAATGCATTTCACCTAATACACTATAATTCAAAGATTGGGGTTGGTAAGATTTTGTAACGTTTTTGAATGTTTCTTATACTCCCCAACAGTGTTGGGAGTAACGCATTACAAAAGTAATATTACAGTAGTATATTTCTTTTTGCTGTAACTCCGTAATATAACGCATTACAATTTGGGTAATATTATTACTCGTTGCAATCTCAGTAACGCAAGTTACAACAACATATTTTAACTCAAAATTAAGTGGTGAATTTACTAACACCGCAAAACAGCACCAGAGAAAAAATTCCGCGGGTAAAATAGTTCGTCTATTTCCTGTTGCTGGAATTAGATGGTTGAGATGACTGCAGAGACGGATTCTACATTTGTGAGATGGACACACTCCTGTTATTTTCAGTTCATCGGAGAAAAGGATAAGAATGCATAGTCCGGTGCAATATGTGCGAAACTCAACACTCAGAAAGAAGACATGGCACGAGTAAAACCTGGAAACACCTGGTGCCACTAACACTAAGCTATCGGAGAGAGCTGCGGGGTCGGAGAAGAGAAAAAGACGGCGGACGAGCGCAGACAAGCAACAAAAATTAAGTTAAATAAAAATCTGTTTTTATTAAATCATAGTCTATATATAAAATGAATTAATATGCGAAATATTTGACTTAAATGGCCTAATTAACAGATTAACAAAACGAAAGGAAAAGACTGCGAGATATGCGAGAGGGAGTAAAATCTTTGCGTGGCAGGGGCAGCTGCCACCGGACCGGCCACCGCTATGTGCGCCTGCCAGCGGACCGGCCACCTCTATGTGCGCCTGCCAATCATTTTCATACCACGGACGCTAAACATTCTTGCAAACTGTCTAAACTAAATTATACATGTCATGCAGACATTCATAACACGAAAACTTTACCGAGGTCCGGACCTCGATGATCTCATGATCAGTGGACCGAGAGCGGACATACACAGTTCGTCATATCACTAACGTTACTCTTAATGAAGTAAGAAATGTTTTTAATGTTAAGAAAATGCTGAATTGTTTTGCTTACCTTCCATGTTGTAAATTCTCCAATAATCGTCAACACCTTAAAAAAAGTAAAAGTAAATATAGCGATTATATAAATTATTTTTAGCTCCTTTCCATGCAGAACATGTAGCTTCATCCAAAAATACTGTGTACTTACGCAAAAAAAGATGTCCAGGTACGTTAATGATCCTTCAGGCCCATCGTCCTCAAATCCAGGTTCGCTAACAACCAATCGGATTGCTCGGTTGAACACAGTTTACGTAGTTCAACCAATCAAAAACTGATATGTTGCATTTCTTACTTGTGAACGCTGGGGGTCGTTGGTGTTGTATTTGTTTGCGGATGGGGTGGCTGGTTTCAAAGCAATAAACGTCCCAGGTCGAGGCCAGGCCCCCAAAACCCGATGCAACTTGACTAATTTTAAAAGTAGTTATTTTTTGGTGCCTTTTTTTTTTTTTTTAGAAATACAAGTCTGCACGTTACGTATGTCATTTTACAGCCTTACATAACCTTTACATCCATAATGGCGCGCGCAGGACCGAAGCGTCGCGCCTGCTACAGTTTACTCTCTGATTGATGCATATAAACAAACAAACAGTGCATTTCTACATTTATTTACCTATTTGCTACATAACATACGTTTTATTCCTCCCTTTAAAAGCATAACTCCGCGCAGCACTGAAGCATCGCGCCTGCCACAGTTTAGCGTCGCGCCTGCCACAACATATCTCACGGTTTACACTTCGATTGATGCATATAAACAAACAAAAAGTGCATTTCTACATTTATTTACCTATTTGCCACATAACATATGTTTTATTTCTCCCTTTAAATGCATAATGGCGTGCGCAGCACTGAAGCGTCGCGCCTGCCACAACATATCTCACGGATTACACTCCAATTGATGCATATAAACAAACAAACAGTGCATTTCTACATTTATTTACCTATTTGCCAGCTTATTCCTCCATTTAAATCCATGGAGCATGCAGCACCTAAGTGTCGCGCCACCTGTTTGCTATAGTGGTGGCAGGTCCGGTGGCAGGCGCAGATAGCGGTGGCAGGACGAGTGGCAGCTGCCCCTGCCAAGCAAAGATTTTACCCTTACTGGGGAGACAGTAATATTGTAACGTAACTAATTACTTTCAAAAGACAGTAACTAGTAATATATAATGTATTACATTTTGGAAGTAACTTGCCCAACTCTGCTCCCCAATGCTGCATTTAATTTATAAAAAAAAACGAATAATGTTAAATATTACTTTTTTTAAATAAGTTTATTCCAGTATTTTAAAATGTTGTGTATTCATGTGATGGCAAAACTGAATTTTCAGCAGCCATTAATCCAGTCTTCAGTGTTACATGATCAAATATGCTGATTAAAAATGTCTTATCAATGTTGATAAACAGTTGTGCTGCTAAATATCGTGGAAAACGCAATAAATTTAAGGATTCTTTGATTAATAGAAAGTTAAAAAGAGCAGCATTTGATTTTAAATGGAAATATTTAAAATTTAGAATTCTGTGTATCAATGTGGTTTTTACAGCATCAGCCTGTTAGCTTAAATACAGGCAACTGAATTAGCTGTACCGAGTCTTTATAGTCAGTTCTTTGAAAGACATTTCATAAAGTTCATGTCTATATCAAGAATCTCAAATCAGTCATTATGTTTCAATTAGGTTACGCTGTTGTCTGGGTCACAGAGATGCTGATTCAATTATATCTTAAGGCTGTTCTTTTGTAACATTTAGACAAAGTCCTTGGAATTATGGCACCAATTATTTGGATTCTTTTTTATTTGCCTCATTTAGCATCAGCTAAAAGAAAAATTTGTCATTATTTACTAATAACTGTAATTGCTTTACTTTGGATTTCAGCTTATTTGTCATTGGGCCTCATTCTGCACCAAGTGATCCCTAAAGGTAACTGAACATCAAAATTATGATTTTGAATCACTTGAACACGGGTGTGCATGTGCGAGGGGTCACACTGGGCAAAATCTATATTATTTAATTCAATTACAATGTGAAAACATTATCATACAGTCTGAAGAACCTGGATCAAACCCACACCTACACAATGTTTGATATAAGTAAATCACTGCTCTTAAGTAATAAGAGAGTTTTTTTTAGGACAAAAAAATAATGTTATGAAGCCAATCCCTTACACTCTCGATCCAAGTCATTATGACTTGAGCTTTTTTGTTTATGCCTTTTTAAATTATGGATTTAACAATGTGCTCAAAACATACCACTTCTCTTACCACCACAAACTACTGCCTCTAAATATGGTCTGGGTATTTCTGAAATGCAAACATGTCTTCAGTTCATTCTTTAAATGTTTTCCCCTCTTCTTTTATTATAGCGCAAGTTATCCTATAACAATCCCCAAACTTTCGCCGAGCACAGCAAAAAGGCATCTACAAGGAATGGTCTTTGCATAACTTAAACATAAACCCAAATTACCCAAACCTGATCCCTCATAAACTGCTTAAGAAAACTGAATGTATTATGAATTTTAATCTTAACACTTACACTAGGTGTTGTTTGCTTTGCTAAACACAGAGCCAGTGTATCGTGCCACCATACAAGGTGGCTTGTGCAAACTTGGTTGTGATTCGCAAGTGGCCTGTAATTTACGCATTCAAAGGTTCTAAATAAAATGCCTTGGAACACAGCCAAACATGCCATTAACAGAGAGAGAGGGAGAGAGAGAGGGACCTCACTATATGGTTGGTTTAGATGCATGCATGTGGACGCAAACTACAGTGCTCTCTTAATTTGAGATTTCCTGCGGGACACGTTCCATTGGGCTGATGGGGAGGCCCATCCTGCACCCAATGTTGACATTCCCACTGTCTGTAAATAAAACCAGGGCTGAAGCTTGAGCTTTAATATTTTTATTACTGCATCTGCATGCCATTGTAAAATTGATGGTTCTTCTGCATACTTTTAATTTTACTAAGGGAGGCAGGTGTTGTAATAAAAATCTTAATATTCTATGAAATTTCATGAGCTGTTTAAATGAAAAGCAAGTGTAGTTTATTATGAGCAATTTTGTTCTCAGAAATGTTTTATAGGGGAAACGGGGAGTGTTGTAAGACATTTTGTTACTGTAACTGTAAGTTGTAACACTAATAGAAAACAATGTTTTCAATTTTGTGCATGAGCTCACAAATTAGTTATTTTTATTAGATAAATATACCACATCCTATCAATACCTCATTTTATTTTTAATTATTTAAAAATTACATCAACTTATAAACTAAACCAATATCTACTGTAAGTTCATGCCTCAAAACTGCATTTTGTCGGTCTAAATCTTCTAGAACTTATACTATCATCTTCGAGGTT